GCCATCAAATCATGATGCAAACTATCCAAATATATATGAATACTGGCGGAAAGACCAATGGGTCTACACTGCTGCAGCGGTATTGAAAAAATTTTCTTTCCTCTGATTTGTTGTCATTTTATTTATTTCTTTTTTCACCCACACTTCATATATGCTACATATAATTTCTTTCAGTTTGATATAAGAATCGTTTTTGAATGCTTGACAAGGTATTGCTCGAGTTTAATCTATTTTTCACTTTATTTGATTGCGCATTTCCTCCAATATCGTCACTTAAATTTCTTTTATTCAAATTTGATCGCTCTGGTGGCCTAGTGGCTAGAGCATTCGCCTCGGATGCAGTATGTCGCATGTTCAAACCACGGTTGAGTCATGACAAAGACTATTAAAATGGTACGCAGCTTTCTCGCTTGGAGCTCAGTATTAAAAGATTAGTGTTAGGACTGGTCGGCCTCTGTCAGGATAATGTGACTGGGTGTGACATCATGCTACGTGTCTGCGGTATGATACTCCAGTGCTAGACATCAGTCTAAACTGCCACTCTGCAGACATTGTAGTGATATGGCTAAAACAAGTTAGAACTGTTACGTTTAGGCTCGTGCAAAGGTAACAAGAGGAAGGAGTGAAGTCAACAAGCTTTCTAAATTTCAACAAAATATGTATTTACCCTAGAAAACAATGTAAAAATTGGAAATAGGACTTATGATTTGTGAATATAATCAAAACTTTAATCCTAAGACTGAAAAGTACAAGTCCTATCATTAAATAATTCTAATAGACCCTGGGTTCGAATCTTGATGAAATTCCAATATGGAGGCGATGACGTCTCATGAGGCCGCTGTCCTGGTAGTAACAGATTCTCGATTGAATCACAGTTTATGTTTACATATAGAACTCCAGAACAAATTTCCAATGAATTTCTTTCTCTCAGAAGTTTTATAAAAATAGTACACTTGTTTAGGTTTCTAGAGAATAAATTATTAAATTCAAAAAGAAATGAACTTCAAAAACAATCTGGCTTCAACAATTGAAACATCTTGATACCTCAAGGGTTAAAATACAACTCACTATAACTAGAAGAAAATGACTGTTTAAGCCTCGATTTTAGATCACATAGTACTTATCGTGCTGGACACGTGATTTACTAATCTGAACATCGCAATAAATAACATGCCATTTATCACGTATGCAAGATTAGCCCTATACAAGAACCAATTTCTCATACAGAAAATATGTTTACATTACAGCTAACATGCGGGCCGAAATGACCTCGGCAATAGCTAATCGTTATCACTCGATGTTTACAAAAGCTATGTACCAGAGTGATCTAAAAATAGTGCTTCTGTAATAGGTTTTACGTTCTAAAAAATGAATTTACTAGCAAAAATATCAAATCCCGTGAAAATAATCATTACAATAAATGTAATGAAACAAAATTGACATATAAAATTAATTTTAAAACTAACACACAAGCACTTTAATTACATATACGTAACAAAGCTATGTTAAAAATCCAAATCACACACACACACATACACACTGTATCTGTCAATTCATGTACAACTACATTTTTAACCAAAAAAATTAAATCTGCCAGGTGAGTCATCTGCAAAAGATGCGCACTAATTATAACAAAAGCGATTAAACTTACCAATTTTAAGCTACCTAAAAAATTATCAAGCCCTATCGTATTTCAATCAGCCGAAGTATGTCTACGGCTGTTGAAAACGCCAGCATTTCCTTATGTCAGGATTTCTTGCCTCAGGATTTCATTCCGTCAGAAAAAAGTATCTGTATAATGATAGCCCGACTGAAGCAGTTCGACAATTTATATCCCTGCAGCAGAGTCAATATTAGCTGTCAAGTATGTGAAATATTGCTACATCAAATATGGTCCCTTGTTCCTTGACCAGTAGACCGGGCAACACTCTATATAACACACTCGGTCAAGAGCAACGTCGGCCCAATAACTTTCTGGACCCGTTACGGACGAGGACAACCTATATTGTCTTATAACGTACGCGGCGTAATCAATAATTCAATATATACTCCTAAGACTGGCTCCAGGTCTGAATTTATTTAGATTCTGATACTTTCCTGTGAGCGTTTGCTTTGTCTTTTAATCACTTTCTTATCAGCAAGTGCGAATTTCTCTAGTGTCAAATGTAATTGCTTTCAGACTCCCAGCCAACTGTCCAGTTAAAATTACCATATTTCAGTTCCCAGTGTTTGAAAGCTAGCTTTAAGTATGACATTTCTATACCGTATTGGGCATAATAGATTGTAGGTCTATATTTTGTATTAAAGAAAGACTACTAACTGTTGTTGTGATGAGCTTGATCGACAGGTGCTCCAAATACATTGTCTTAATAATTTTGTGACATTTTACAAGAATTGAGCTTGAGGACACGGATTATGTAATATAATAAATAATTCCAAGACGAAGAATGGTAACAGTTCTATTTTACTTTTGTTTAGTATTTTGTAATATCAAACCCATACACATTCTTTAGTTAGCTTCTGTTTGATATATTTTACTTTCATATATTGTAAAATATAATAGCTTAATACCACAGTAATTTCCAACTGTTTATAGTATCAATTCAGCTTAAGTTCAATAACAATAAGTTAAGTTCAATAACCGTGCTCTCTCCACAATCAACAAATCAAGAAACCCGAAGTTATTGTTTAATTCTCATATTGGTCATTTATTTTTCTAATTTCATCGAGGAGGATTTAATGAATGATACTGTCTATTTATTTATATTAGAAGTGTATCATCATTAGATAGTAGTACTGCAATGTTCAATGTATAAGTAACATTCATAGAGATTATATTAATTAGCATTCATGTTTGTAAATAAACGTGGAAGTTTATAACATCATTTAATCAAACAATTGATCAAAACTGACACCAGCCTTGTGTAACAAGCAAAAGCAACAAGCTGAAGCAATTGATATAATAGTCACATGTTTTTGTAGTTTACATTTCCGTCTCTCTCTCATCTCCTTGATCAGTTATAATTGTAGTCTTTCATCTTCCAATATAAAGTCTAGAACCAAAATTCTAACTTATATTTTAAGTGAAAATCTAGTGTGACTGATTTTATTTACGTCAGATTGTTAAATAATTTCATTCTTTACCAGGTTTTCATCTGTATACCATCCCTGTGGTCTTTATCTTTCAATAGAACAGAAGAAGGAAATTTCATAGGAAAAGATGATCTTGTAAATTTCCATAAATCTAATCAATAGATTCATGACAAAAAAAAATTATGAAGAAAGAAAATATTTTACAAGAATAAGAATTACAGAAATGGGATAATGGGGAAATATAGAGAAAATAAATGAAATTGGTTTCGTTGTCGTCTTTCGTTCGATACCACTATGATGACTTCCAGGTTTGCAAAGTTGTATGTAATGAACTTTTAGAACAACAAATACAGTCTTTATCTTCAAACAAATTAACATGGTACTAGCGCCTGTTGAAATTTTAAATTTGGGTCTCTGTAAGAAACAATTAATAAGCTAGAACTTGAGGGGCTGAAGTTTCCATCTTTAATTATTGATTATTAAACAGATCACCGACAGCAAATGGAATTAAATTCAATTGTTTAAATAGCATTGTAGTTCCTTTTTGCAAGAAAGAAAATTCAGACTATGAAGATGAACAGGAAGGTAAATGGGAATTCTTCGGATTATGTGAAAATTTGGTAGAAAAGGGACAAGAACTCATTCGGTTGTCCTTGAAGGTCTGTCAGCGGTGTGTTGCTGGAAAGTTTGCCGCTGATTCAATAAAATGGAATTACTTTTCTTACTGTTTTAATATCGGTGGTTTGTAACGTGTTCCCCGGCCGACTGACTGGGAAAAAGGTGTTCCTTAAGTGCAACGGCGTATGCTATTTTTAAATCTCGCGTGTGATATATTGTTGATAACACTGACTGTTTTATATTGCATTTTAATCTTAAATGTGAAGGTTTATGCTGTATTTACATGCCACTAATGGTTTATGCGGTATTTAAATCCCTTGTGTAATAAAGTATTGTTAACATTGACAGCTTTAACTGTATTTTATTCCTCAGTGTCACGGTTTATGCTGATTTTCAATTCAAAGAGTAATAGGGAGTTTGATAGTGACCATCACTTAGCAAAGTGAACATTGTTTTGTTAATGTAGTTAAATGTTATTTACAAGACCAGCTAAATGAATGGTAGGTTTTGGACGCTTATTTTAATTTTGTCAATTCAATTATGCATTTTTTATATATAAAAAACTTCCTTTAGCCACGTTTCTGCACTTGGGTATTGAAACTTCATTTATTGCAACAGTGTTCAAATATTTTATGAAGAAATATTTATATTTACTACATATTTTCTTCATACAAAATATGACTCAAAAATATTTAGTTTACATGTAAATGAATCTAGTTGTATACTGAACACACGATAAATTTTCGTTATAATATGATTGATCCAAAACTTATGACAGGAAAATCCACTCTTTTTATTGTGAAATTTTCATTTATCTAAATAAATGTTTAAGTAATATATACTGTTATCATGTAGCATTATCGTGTTTTCAATATCTCTCACTGTTCTTAACTTTATTTTATATTGTTCAACGTTTTCATCGATTTGTCTCTGCGTCCGTAATCCTACCCTTCCAAAAAAGATCTGCTTATGCGAAATACGAACGCCACTAATGAAAACCAATTACATGCGAATATGACCATCTGACCATTTACTTTAATTTTACTACCTCTGGTAATTTGTCTAGTTTCAACAGTTTTAAAATGTCTACAAACTGAAAGATGGCTGTATTATTAAGTCAAGATTTATTTTGTTGTTATATGATTAAAATGACTAATCATGGTGTGTCCAGAATCTATTCACTCCTTGTGTGTGTGTGTGTGTGTGTGTGTGTGTGTGTGTGTGTGTGTTTGCACATTTTGACACGATTCCTGAGGTAAGGAAATGGATTCTATAACTTCGCGCTGTATATAATGGTGGCTTAATTTGTTAGTGTCCGCTTCGGATGCGGGAGGTCGCGGGTTCGAATCCAGACCTAGTTATATAAAAAACTTACGAAAAGCAGCTGCCTTGCTTGGCGTTAGTGTTATGACTTGTCCGCCTGGTATCAAGATAATGTGACTAGGTGGGACATGGTGTTACATGTTTGCTGCATTCCAGACATCACCTTAAACTCCCACACTAGCGATGTGACTGAGAAAGTGTTAAAATTCAAATCACACACACACACACACGCACACACGATATATCATGTAATACTAGGTTGAAAAGCTGATGAACGGAGAAGAGTGTTAAAGCACAAATGACTTTGGCTTTACAATCTTAGCAATTGAAGCAAATGTGAAATTAAAATACAATCAAAACTTTATGCTTAATATTGCAACGAATATCAAACAAGTTAGTAAGGTTGTAGACGACGAACATGATTGCATAAATATCACATTTCAATTTATAATAGATAATTCATCTTCAGGTATGCTTTGTGATGTAACTGCGTTGTTGTCCTCGTCATCTTTGTCTTCGGCTCTATCCTTTACTGGTATCTTTCAGGTGCCTAACCCTATTGAAAAGTTGGAATTCGCCGACACCGTACAGTTAACACAATCAGACTATAAGTTTAACTCAACACCGTACAGTTAACACAATCAGACTATAAGTTCAACTCAACATCATGTCTAAAAGGTCTTCATGAGATGCTTTATCTGATGTCCGCTAGGATGCTTTACAAAAAAGGGTAAACTATAGATGTGTACTAACATGAGTGTGTGTTGAGTCTATTCCCACTTAGGACAGCTATACACACAGGTCGTGTGGGACCTTATAGTCCCACGACCTGAGGGCTTAATTTACCAACGTTGTTTGAGTGCATAAAAGTACATGTGTGTGTGTGCTTTGGATTTTAACGTCACTTTAACAATTTTTCAGTCATATTGCTACGATTTCTGAAGTGTGGCAGTTTATAGTGATGTCTAGCACAGGGCATGATGCCGCTGACATGTAGCATGATGTCCCTCCCTTTCCGGACACCAGGTCCTCTAGTCCTAACACTACCCTCTTAATACTGAGCGCCAAGCGAGCGAGGCAGCTGTTTCGACTATTTTTGTACGTCTTTGGTATAATTCGGCCGAGGATCGAACCCACGGTCTTCCGCATCCGAGGTGAACGCTCTAACCACTAGGCCACCAGAGCGGTCCCGAGTGCATGATCGCGTGGGGGATATGGCTCTGGTTCCTTCCCCAACAATTCTGCAGTGCAGACAGAACCAGTGGCACATGCGCGTCCCGGCCAAAGCAACGTAAGGTCTCACTGGATAGTTTAGTATTTTGACATCCCCCTAATTTTTAAGGTAGAATTCTTAAACCTAATTATGACAACACTAGCATTTATAAATTCACACATAAGCTAAATCTTTAATGTGGTTTACATTTACTTTGAGTTAGGCTTGTAAATGGGTTGCCTTGTTGGTGACTACCTGTCACAGATAGACTAGCATTGGATATCAAATGCGTAACTTGGGCTGCAAATGAGCAGCTGACTTGGCTTATGTATTTACATGTGTCTGCTACAGAGGTAAATATTTAAAAAAATCTACATGATTGAGGGTTGATGAAAAGTATGTTAATTTGTTATAGTACTAGTGAACTTTGTCAAGATGAATAAGGTACATACTGACTCTGTTAGCCTGCTTCTCACAGGAACAGGTTGAAAAAAGCTTTTTTCTGTCAAAAATGGATGTAAAAAAGAGGGGTTGGTGGTAGAATAGGTTCAGTATCAAAACCACCAGTTGCATAAGGAATTAACCTTAATACCTTAGTCAGAATCTTACAAGCATCCTCTCAACAAAAATCATTAGTTAGTTTTTATTTGTATCTTTATTGTAAAATTATGATCATTTTTCTGCAATATATCATCGTCAAAACAACTGTCCGGTGAGACCATAGTGGCATGGATTTACACCGTATCTACAGTTGGAATTAATGCGTAAACCCGACTGTTCAAGAGTGCCCACCCTATGATCCCTCAGATAAAGGATTTAAAAAAACTTTCAAAGTGGGCTCTACCTAGAAAGTCGATGTACATTGCTGAATGACCAATTAAGTCGTAAATATTAGATCATCTTCATAGTGCAGGGAGTCGGCATGTAGAATTAGCCGTATTAGGGTCTAATATAATTGGAAAAGGAAAAGGCTCTTGTGTGTCTAAATCGCACAAGCATAGTTGTATCATATTATCCACTATAAAACCGTACATCATCTTCTGTTTTAAATCAACTCAGTAGTTTCGCCTCGTCTGTCAGAATATTAAAGACAACTAATGCTATAGTCTCAATTTCTGAGAAAATAAATCACCGTCCTATCAATTTCATGCAGCCATGGCTCAATGTAAGATGTTCTAATAAGCTAGACCGGCTGGAAAGAGTTAGAGGAACCTCGGATTATCGGGTTCCCTATTTCAGTTTGCGGAGTAGTTACCTACCTCCCACACAAAAGATTAGCTTACGCAAAATTTTCTCAGCTGTCTACTAATCGTAGGAATATTTGTACACATTAATGAAATAGCATAATATTGTTTTATACTTAAAAATAACTAAAACGTTGCCTCATGAAACGGGACCATACAAATTTTGGGGGAAAAACCCATCAAACCAACCAACACCTGACCAGATCCATAAGCAGCAACTTCAATTTTTAAATAATTTCCTTAAACAGATTTTGTAAGATGAATATCCAGAACTGAATAGATTTGACACGTGATTTTGACACGTGATTTCCTAGAATGTTATCACGCCCTATTATGTGCCTCATTTCCCTTTCCGGTCATAAAGCTCTGTGAGCTAGTTGAAGATGCATAGGTTGCTTTCGCTCAGTTTATTTCATAAGGACGATCACACAATCTTTGAGGTATGTAGGTTTTTAATAGGTTTTAACGTGGTCGTGTAATCTGAGAATTTCTTTCATTTAACCTTCGTGTATTTCACATAAATATGATAACTCAATTCATTCTGTATCACGTCGTGCATGGTACAACAGGAGTCTGACGTTTTATCAACAAAGTTCGACAAAATCTCTGACAACATGAAATCTCCTTATCGGTATTATAAATGTGAACAAGGAGTGAAAGCGTGACCACAACCCTCTGCTCGATTCAAGTTTTCTCGCGCGTCTTTTATCGCTTCAGAATTTCACGAAGACTAAAAACTTACACATATTCATTCAGATGACAGTAACGTACCAATACACAATTCTCGGACGACTATTGCATGAATCCAATCCTGTGAATTAACCTGGAGTATGTGTATTTTTTTCCTTCTTACGATTCTGACACGATAAAAGACGCGTGAGAAAATTCGAATCGAGCGGATAGTTGAGGTTACGCTTTCAATCCTTGTGTTCATTGATAATACACATAAGGTGATTTCATGTCGTCAGAAATTTCGTCTTACTTTGTTGATAAAATGTCAGATTCCTGTGATGGTACTTACTTGCCTCGTACATGTGTAATCTGTAGGATCCAAATGAAGAACTAAATACAAATTTTGTGACGAACCGCATCCGTTTTACATTTGGTGTCGTGACAAAGATATTCGGTAAAATTATCTATCTTTGTGGTAAACATGGTCTTATATTTTGCATCCGACTATGGTACTATGATTAGTACCATTTCTTTATGGTACTAACATGAGTCTGTGTGTATCAACAGATCAACCTAGTGAGATTCACACCTGGCACGTTTTCAGCTTATTATTAAAAGCTGTGAATGTTTGTTACATATGCAGAAATAAATTAAATAATCAACTTATTTGATAACATATTTTCTGCATGCTAGTGTAGAATTACATGTGAAAAGTATTTATCACATATTTCCTTCAGGGTTGGCCGCCATATTAGTTCAACAAATAGCTACTTCAATTTACAACGTCGTTTTTTATCTGCCATATAATGACATCTCTGTCTTAGCTAGAAAAAGCAGCATTGTTTTAATGGTGCAATTTCAGTCCGTTAACAGTATTGAGCTTGGAACACTTATTACTGAAATTAGTACCAGAACTTTTGGCGAGGAATTGAAAGCACACGTGTTAAACATATAAATCCGGAATATTTTGTAACGCGTATGGTTTTCCTACAATGACTTGGAATTGTCTGTATCGATAAATATAGGTTTGATCATGAACATTAAAAATTAAAAGTTATTGGACTTTCAAGATCATGGTATTTGCCTATGATTACTGAGCAAACATAATTAGTGCCGTGAGTTCTGAATATACCGTCTTTTAATCTGTCAAGTTATTTCAGCGGTTGATGTTCAATGAACCCGTACCAGTTAAACACGTACGAGTCAGCCTGAGCATCCCACGGGTCATGTGATGTCTGAAGTGTTTGGAAATCCCAAATAAAAATATGCCGAATTCAAGGTCAAGCAGGACTGCCGTACACTCTGCAATCGCAATCATGTTGCATTCGATAAGGCGCACTAGGGGAAAAAGCTGATCAAAAGATAAAGTATAATACAAAGAAGTTCAATTTCACATGCTAAATCAAATTGTAGGTGCTGAAAATTCTATTTTATGTCGAGTTTGTCAATTTTATATGTTGAATTACACAGCGGTAGTTGAAGATTTCATTTTATTGTTTAGTGTTTAGATTTTATCTTTCGAATTACACAGCGGTGGTTGAAAATTGGACGTGTGTTGAAAAATTAACTTTAAATGTCGAGAGTTTAGATTTTATATGTTCATTTACTCAGCGGTGGTTGAAGGTTGTATTTCCTACATAAAAGTTTTAGATGTTATCTGTTGAGTTACACATATAGCTGGAAGCTTTATTTCCTATGTCGAGAATTCAAAATTTCACACGTTGAATCAAAAAGTGTGGTGATATTGCCTGTCAATCATACACATGACGCCTTAGGAAACTTTATTCTTTTATTGTCCGATGATGAGAAGAAAGGACAAGAACTCTGTCTATTTTAAAAATCACGATATTCGAAAAATTGGATTTAATCAGAAATCAAAAAAATATTGCAAGATTTATGCACACGTAAATA